ACTATTTATTTAATGCATTTTCAGCTTATGGAGTGCTGTGTGAATGCCCTGGTGACATCTTTTAAAGAGACAATTTTAGCAGAATGTCAAGGCATGATCAAACGAAATGAAACAGAAAGTAAGTGACGTTTTTTTAAAAAGTGCAGCATGATGTATGGCAAGGGATAAAAATAGGTTTGGTAGAGATATCAGATTACTGTTTTGTAACAGAGGCCAGCTGTGTTTGGTTGGAGTGATGCTTTTTTCCTTGAAGGCTAGTTGTGACCAAAGGGGGGGGGTGTATTATTTATTTATTTATTTATTTATTTATTTTTTACATCTGGTTTACTTTTGTTTTCTATGGTGTGTTGTCTTCAATTTTAAAAGGAGATACCCCAAGCCTATTAGAGTCTTGCACGGACTTCAGATTGAACTAGACTAATTAAAGTAGATTTCTTTTCTCCCTCTTCCTGGGTGTGTTTTTCTGATGTATTGCTCTTTGAGGTAGGGAGGGAAAGTCTGTCTGCTCCCACCCCCTCCTCCCACCCCACTCCATGATTGTGGGTCAGAGTTTGGTTTTGGGGAATGTACTGATCACCTAATTAAAATCTCTACAAGGCTTTGTTTTGCCTGCTCTTTCTTACAACTGATATCTCATTACCTGATAATTTTATAGGCTGATGCAATATACTGTTTGAAAGATGGTGGTCATAACTTTTCAGAAAGTTTGAAACCTTTTGCTTCTGGAAATTTTGGGTTCTGTGGGTGACTTCAGTGTGACTTGTGAAGGTGCTATCCAGTCAAGAAAGCAGACCCACACAGTGTCTCCAGGATTCAAAGAGGAATAAGGAAAGAGGAAATGAGTTTGATTATCCTGCAACTAGTTTATTACATATTAAAACTTCACTAATTAAGTTTTGTAGCTGTACAAATGAGAAGTTGGAATTTTCAGCTTTGAATTGGGAAAAAACATTCATTTCCAGGCTTGGCAGTTCACAAGAAATCTGACCTTCAAACTGTGTTAGACACACCCCTCAATCTAGTAGTACTTTTTGTCACTTGTCCAGGGCTGAATATAGTAAGCTGATGAACTTCATAAGAGTATAAATTTCGGACCTTGGAGACATACAGAAGGCTCATTTTGAACTCAGAATTTCTGGAGATGCCTCTTCGCAGAGGCACCTCAGATAAGACTTTCCTTAAACTTTTTTGCTTTTTGACATGCATTTCTCTGTCTCCATCACTTTTGACTGTTCCTTATCCATGTAATACTTTAAACTTGATTGATATGTTAGATCTCTGCCGTCTTTGATACATCTTTCCCAACCAGCCCCTTCATGGTTTGCCCTTAGGGACACTCTTTCTGAACGCTGGCATTGCACCTGAACAGTGGCATTGCTATTGCAGTGGCTCTCTCATGGTTCAGCCAGTCGTGCATTGTCTTCATTCTCCCCCTCATCTGTTTGGGATGGTTACCAACAGTTTTTCGAATGTGTGTTTTTATACAATGTTTAATTGGGGAATGATCAGGATAAGTAAACTAAAAGCTTGGAGCCTCTTTTTTTTTTTTTTTTTTTTTTTTTTTTAACTTGCTGCCTTCACCTATTTCTTCATCACAGTTTAATGCAGTGTAACTTTTGTGTTGATCACCTTGAAATAAAAGCTGCAGTTGGTAGATTCTTCTCCTGTGTCCTGGGCTCTTAAGTTTCTTCTTCTGAAGAAATTGAAAAGGGAGATCTTCCTTTTTTTGTGCTCCTCCTGGATGCAGTAGAAAGGGGGAAATTTTGAGTCTGTTCTGGTTTTGTTTTTTAATTAAAAAAACAAATTTGAGGAAATGGTCCTTGGCCATTGTTAGTCATGCTGCTTTCTCCACGAGGAGAAGCCCACCTGTATTCCAAGCTTGGTGTATTGAGATTTAATACAAAAGTAGGCCCTTATCCAATATGTCTGATCTAACTGTTCAGTAGCCTGTCCAAAACAACCTCATGGTCTTGCAGAAATATCAGTACTCTTGCTTCTGGGGGTAGTTACATTAGTCCTGAAAAAGACTAACAACATCCATCTTTGGAGTTGTAAAAATCACAAGACTCAGACCACACTCTACTCCAAGTTGAAGAAAAAAAAAAATTAATCTTTTAGCCATAACTGGTTTAGGCATATTTGGCACTTAATATTTTTTAAATAATACGAACCCAATTGAGGTCTGACACAAATTTCCAAGGAAACCCTATTTTGTGTGGTTAGTATTATTAATAGTGTTCAAAGTGTAAGAATAAACTGTTTTTATAATAAATGGACTCTATCGGTGTTTAATTTGGTTTGGTTATTTATTTTGCTTCATGTCCTGCTTTCAGTGGTGTTTGTATAAATGGAACATACATTCCTTTAACTTAAATCTTTGGTTACTATGTGGAATGGTGGCTTTATCAGTATATTGTATCTTTCAGAGTTGCATTTAATGTTTTTGCTGATGGATAAAGTTCCTAATGGAATAGACCCTATGTTAAAAGATCTGGAAGAGCATATTGTTAGTGCTGGACTAGCAGATATGGTAGCAGCTGCTGAAACTATTACTACTGTAAGTTTATCTGCTAAAGAAATAATTTTAATAGATATAATGTCTTACAAAAAAATAAATACTAGAATTATGTGGTATATTACATGTAAGTAACAATGGATTTAAAAGAAAATAAAACCAATGGACTAGAGGTGCACTGAATATATTGGTGCCATATCGGATCAGCACCATTTTAGAGTGAAAATTAACATTATCAGCTTTTTTTGGCTGGTGCAACTAAAGTGTCACCAATAAATATAATACGCCTTCTGGCTGGGGTCTCCGGATGCCATGTGTGCATACGCAGTTGCAGCATGCATGTGGGCAGGAATTCAGCTGGGTAGCATAGAGAGCAGCACCCTGCAGGTACATCTGTGGAGGGGAAGGGATATGGCGGGCAGGGTGGGGGTTTGGCAGATTAAGACCCCATGGTGGGAGAGGGAGTGGGGCAGGGGCTAGGAGTGCTGCCCAGCCAGGGTGGTGAATGGGATCCCGGAGCCAGGGCAGGGAGCAGGACAGAGCTGTGGGTGGCTTGTCCAGGGACAGGGGTAGAGGGGAGCAGCTCCCTGCTGCTGCATGCACCCCCAGAAAAGACATGGGGAGTATGTGACCCCCCCAGATTTGTGCATGGGGCGGAGGCAAGCTGCCTGCTATGGGCCCTGGTCTCTCAACCCTGCTACCTTTGCTCTGGGAGCCATGTTCTGGCTGCATGTCCCCTGCCTGTCTGGCAGTAGTTGTGGCAGCAAGTTGTGTCTCTTGCCACCAGCTCATCACTTCATTTCAAGCACCCCTGCTGCCACTTTTGAGTGCCATGATGCTGATCCCTTGGACAAGCCACCCACAGCTCTGTCCTGCTTCCTGCCATGGCCCTGGGGTTCCATTCATTTCCCTGTGTGGGCAGTGCCCCCAGCCCCCACCCCTTTCCCATGGTGAGGGAGGAAGTGGGGCCTCTATGACCCCCACACACCCGTTCCCTCTCCCACGTCCCTTCCTCTCCACAGACTTACCTTCATACTGTGCTCCTGTAAATCTTTTATCAGTATTGACCAATATGCCTGGTGAATAATCAGCTATCAGTACTGGCTAAGAAAATATTTATCGGTGCACCCCTACAATAGACATCCACAAGCATTAGATTCATTCATTCTCTCTCTCTCTCTCTCTCTCTCTCTCTCATTTTAAAATGAAGTCCTTCAGAGTAATTCTCTAGTTAGACCTCAGTCTTCTTATGTATTTGCCTTTTTCAAATGTGTGTCTTTATACATAAAGCCAGCATGTAGTTTAAATCAAATATACCAGTGGTGACTGATAGAGTATATGGGAAATGCCAAAGTTAGAGTTGTATTAGCAGTTTAATTACAATGAATTAAAAAGGCTATTCTGACAGTTAACTTCATGGAAGAAACTAGTGAGCTTATGTTTAATTGGGGAATGATTTTTATTTTTTTTTCTGGAAGTTTCTCAGACATTTCAGCACTTCTTCAGGCCGGAGAACAGGTGTGGTTCTTCCCTCTGTTCCCCTTTTTCTCCCCTTCCCTCCAAGAAAGCAAAAGCTTTAATTCCCTTTGCCCCCACCTTTTTTAATATTTGTAGACCTTGGAGGAAAGATAAGGGACCTATTTTAGGGATCACCTCCTTGCCATTCCTCCATAGCTTTCCAGTCCTCCAGTAAATGCTGACCTCAAGTGGCAGTTATGAGGACTTCTAAGACTCTAAATGTGCATGCTCGCTTATTTTTAAAGTAGGAAATTCCATACAGAAAAGCTACGCTAAAATGTGACAGTTGCAAAGCTCTTGAATCAAAAAAAAAATTGAGGTTGCCTATTCTTACATTACTCCCTCTGTTATGAGAATAGAGTTACATGATTCCATTTTTTCCTCAATTTTTTTAAAAATTTTGTTGCTTTTAACTCTAGGATTCTGAGAAATACGTAGAGCAATTGCTTACATTATTTAATCGATTTAGTAAGTTGGTTAAAGAAGCTTTTCAAGATGACCCAAGATTTCTTACTGCAAGAGACAAGGTATGTGTTAGTTGCACTTTTGTCTTTAATTTCTGTTAGTTGTTGAAATTGGTATCAAAGTTTGCCTCTGTCAGTAGGCAACAAGGTTCTAATCCTGATAGTAGGTTGTGGTAGAAGGTTGTGGACTAAAATGCCAATTGGATTTCTAGCTAACTGGTAATCTGATCAATTTGTACTGTAATGTAGTGCCTATAAGCTGCAATCTGTAGCATGATACGATTGGCCAGTGCATGAGATGACACTTTGTGCTTGGAAGTTTATAGTCTACTTTCTGATCCGGCAACGTGCATGTCTTCAGTATTAGGTATGTGCCACAGAGTACCCTTCAGGAGGGTACTTGCTTGGGACCAGTGTGGCTTTGTCTGGTCTCTGAAAGTACCCCTTGAAGTCAACCTAGGCTTGGCTTCTAGAGCAAGAGGGGAGCCTGAGCTTCTTCCCACTCTGAGCCCCTGGACTTCTAGTCCTTCACCCTCCCTGATTCTTTATGGCCCTGACTTAAGGAGCTAGTATCCAGTTGCACTCCTGAGGGGGACTTCACTTCTTCTTGGGGTAACCCAGTGCAACCCACATTTCCAAGCAGCACAGCAGTCTCATCAGTAACAACATTTATTGGTGCAAAGCCACTGAACTGGAAGTTCTCAGTCCCCTCCAAAGGGGTTAAGCAGTCTCTCCATCTCCATTCCAGCCCACACAGCCCTGGTACCCCCAAAGATACTTAGCTGTTCCCTTTCCAGTCTCTAGCTCCTCCAGGTTTCTCCACTTCTCTCTGTTCTCTCAGTCCCTAGACCCAGGAGCTGCTGATGAGTTGCTTCACTCCCAGTCTGCTTTCCCATTGTCATGTATATCTCCTCTGGACCCCTCCTGGGTATTGGGCAACTCACCTTTGTTGATATGTCAACAAAGCCCTTCAAGCCTTGCTGCTGCTAAAGGTCTGTCTGGTCTGCATGTAGCCAGCCCTGGCACTTAACCCCTCCTTCTCTGTGCAGAGGTTAAGGAGGTAAACTGAATCATACAATATAATAACATTGTGAACACAGTTAACTCAGAAATATCTTCGTAAAACCTGTAATTGATCACAACATGTAATTGTGAATAGTCCCATGACTTCAAGGGGACAGCTCATCTGCTTAGTTAGGCATATAGTGAAGTTGGGCTTATAAGGGAACTATATAAGTAATATGCACTAGGCCTGTGTGAAGTGGCAAGTATTTGCTTTTGATTCGGATTCAGCCCATTTGGAGGGACAGTGATTCGATCTGGAGATTCGAATCGCTGTCCTGATTTGATTTGGCCAAATCAGATCTGAAGATTTGGTGCTACTTTGGAGATTCAGCCATAGACTAAACAGGCAGCAGTCCTTGCCATGCTGGACACAGCTGCCTTCAGCTGGTAAGTCTGTTAGGTTTGGGGAGGAAAGGCATGTCGGGGAGGGAGGGTTTGGAGCTGGGAGAAACTCCCCAGCCTGGGCAGGCGGGTGTGGGGGGTTTGGGATGTGGGCATGGCAGTGCTCAGAGGGGGGGTGGTGGGCTATGCCCTGCTGCCAC